AGGTTGCTATGATGTCACAGCACTCTACGAGGGTGACAGTTTGAGACTCTGTTTAAAAAAAAAAGCTTTTAATAAAAATTTTTAATGTTAAGTGTTCATTGTAAAAAACATCAAATATATAGGAAACTGAAAGAAAAATATAATCTACAGTATCATAATTTAGAAGCAACCGTACATTATATTGTTATTTTCTCGTATCCATTAAGAACCCTTAGCATAGGGGCAGCACCTATGGCTCAGAGGAGTAGGGTGCTGGCCCCATATGCTAGAGGTGGCAGGTTCAAACTCAGCCCTGGCCAAAAGCTGCAAAAAACAAACAAACAAACAAAAAAAAAAAAACCCTTGGCATAAACGCTATAATCTAAATATATAATTTCTCTTGATTCCCCACTCTGCATGAACCCACAGCCTCCCTTGCTGACACTGAGGAGGTTTACACCATCAAGAGCCTCGACCAGAGTCCAAGCAGAAACATCAGCCTGGCTCCATTATGGTGGTGGCATCAGACAGGGGCTTGGGACCTTGAAGGCAGGCCCAGGTCCAGGCCCAGGGACAAAGACCAAAGACAAAGGAACCAAGGAGAGGGCCTGGGTGGCACAAGCCCCCAAGTGAGGACAAAGACAATGGCACCATGGCCTCCAGACCAGTTCTGTGGAAAGGCCTCTACCAGTGCTCTTGTCCTCCAACCACAGAAACATTCAGTGGGGGGGGAGCACCGATGCAGGCCCACTCTTGTAAACACCAACAAAAGAGAAAGCAAGAAAAGCCCGGCGCTGCCCACACTGCTGAAGCAAGACAGGGATGCCTCAGGCCACTGCAAGGTAGGCTCTGCACAGTGGTGGGTGCTATACCTCGGGCACTCAGCTCCCTCAGACTCAGCAGTGGCTCCGGCACTGTGTCATTTTGCCAAGTAACACAGAGGGAGGTCTGCGCTGGCTATCCTCCCGGCACAGGGAGCAGGTCAGGGAAACTGGAAGTGAAGGAAGTGCCTTTGTGCTTCGACAAGCTCCTAGCCATGTAGGGGGCACCTACTCTTTGGGGGGCCCTGGCCCTCTTGCCATGCACAGGAATAGTGGGAACACACAAGGACTAGGGACATGATATGGTGACACCCAGAGATGAACCCATGTAGGCCAAGCAGAGAGGCTGGACCTGGGCATCTGGGGCCTCAATCTACGCAGCCCACAGCAAATCTGCCTTTCTGGGAGAATAGTGCTCAGACTAGCCCAGAGTCCCCCAGTGGCCAGAGTGACCAGGTGAGAACAAGTAGGCTTTTCCCACAGGCTGGCTCTGTCTGGAGAAATAGGTGGAGCTTCCCCATGTGACTTAGATCATTCTCATTTGGAGATCTCACCAGCCTAGAAATAACCTCCAGAGAGCAGCTGTGTGACCCACCTGTAGGGTGAGAGCAGCCACCCTCCCCTGGAGGGGGGCACACAGCTTCCCTCCTCACTTCCTCCCTGCCCCAGTTTCCTTCCCCTAGGGACAACACTGCTCCTTCCAGGGGGACAAGAGCCTGCCATCCACGGGCCAACAGGACCCCAGAGCCTACTGTGGGGAGAGTGCCTGGGAAGGGGCTACAGAGAAGGCCTCAGGTGGAAGGGTGGGGATCAGAGCTCTCACACTAATGCTGTGTCACAGCCTTAACAATACCGCAACAAAGGGCAGGCGCCCAGGAGCCCCACTGCAGTGGATGCCTGCTTCAGCTCCCATGGGGCGCAAGCACTCACCCGTGGCCAGCCTTCCTGTGTCTGCTGATCTCCTTCTCCCCCTCGATGATCCACTGCATGATCTTCTGGTTCTTCTCTGCGTCCTCAGAGGGCCCAGGCACCTCAACACTAGCGCCCTTCCCCGAGTCAGTCTTCTTGGCATTTCTTTTGGAGGGCACGCCTGCTTTCCCACTGTGACAGCAAGACTTGCAAGTCACCCCCCAGTCTCTCCACAACCTCCCATGGCTGCCAGATGTGCCCCCCATGTGCTGCCTGGAGGAGCCTCTGACCCACTCTGCGAGGTGGCTCCTATCATGATTGCTCTGGAGTTGTCTGGGGAAGGGCTGAACCTGGACCTCTGCCTCCCACTGAGGGCACTAGCTGACTCCATCTACAGCCTAGCCTGTTCCTTTGAGCCCAGACATTCCCCACTCTGTGTCTGGAACCCCACCAGGTTTGAGAACCTCCTGTAGAAGCTGGGTCCTGCCAGTTGGTGGCAGCCACAGGTTTCCTATAAGTTTTACAGGGAAGTTCTGCCTTCATCATCTACTGGCAAAGCACCTCACCACCACAGGATCAGCAAAGAGGACCAGAACTCCAATTCCCAAAGCATGTGGCTGGCTGCACACACTCACCTGTGGGCCAGGCTGTCACCAGCGCCTGGGGTAGTGCCCATACTCTCTGAGTAGCTGCGGGGCTTGGCTCCATGGCTGTGTGGCTCTGGGCCCCATGTGAAGCTGCCTTGAACCCTGCGGGTGGCCTCAGCCTCGATCTGTTCCTTGGGCCTGGCTGTGCTGTGGTGGACATGGTGGTGGATGTGCCTATGGTGGTGCAGGCCAGCCGTGTCCAGCTTTGCTGCTGACTTGGGCAGATGTTTACTGTGCCCAGAGACTCCACCCACTAGCACTGTTGCCATCTTAGCCATGTGCCCACTGTCAGGGGAGCGGTGACCAGGTCCAGGCGATTGGCAGCCAGGTGTCCTGAGGACCCGCTGCACGTGCTCGTCCAGGATGCTCTCGGGGTTCTCCTCGTGTGCGTCCCGAAGCCCAACGCAGCCCATGTCCACATAGCGGGGTTGGAAATGGTGCCAGGCAGGGACAGGAGGCAGTTTGTGACTTGTCCCCAGGGGGCCAGAGGAGAGATCACCATCATCACCTTCTTCCTCCTATGGGGACAAGGCAACATCATTACCTGTAAGTACCAGCAACACAGGGAGAACCATACACTTGGGGAAAACAAGTAAGAAACAGGACTGAGCCAGCTGTGTCCCGGAGGTCAAAAGGTCCTGAGCAGATGTCAGGCACCATATGGCTCAAGCTTCAGGAGCTTCCTGTCCCTTCTAGTCCCAGTCGTTTTTTTTTTTTTTTCTTTGAGACACAGTCTCAAGCTGTTTCCCTTGGTAGAGTGCCCTGGCATCACAGCTCTCAGCAACCTCCAACTCCTGGGCTTAAGCGATTCTCTTGCCACAGCCTCCCAAATAACTGGGATTACAGGCGCCCGCCACAATGGCTGGCTATTTTTTGGTCATTGTTGTTTGGCAGGCTGGGCTGGATTTGAACCTACCAGCTCTGGTATATGTGGCTGGCACCTTAGCCACTTGAACTACAGGTGCCGAGCCCTGGTCCCAGTCTTGAGAGGAAGGCTGGGGACGTGGGACAGGACAGGGTACAGATGGAAGGCGAGACCACATCAGGGGACAAGAATGAGCATGCTGACTGCTCAAGGAACACAGCACAATCACAGGCCGTGGACACAACTCTGCACAGGGTTAGTTCCTTTCTTTTTTTGTTTTTTTAAAAACAGAGTCTCACTTTGTCATCCTCAGTAAAGTGCCATGGCATCATAGCTTACAGCAATCTCCAACTATTGGGCTCAAGTGATTCTCTTGCCTCAGCCTCCCAGGTATCTGGGACTACAGGCTCCTGCCACAACACCTGGCTGGTTTTTTTTTTGGTAGAGATGGGGTCTCACTCTGGCTCACTCCAGCTCAGGATGGTCTCAAACCTCTGAGCTCAGGCAATCCATCCACCTCAGCTGCCTCATTGCTAGGACTATAGGCATGAGCCACCATGCCTGGCCATGTCTGGCTATTTTTTAGAGACAGGGTCTTACTCTGGCTCAGGCTGGGCTCAAAGTCCTGAGCGCAAGCAATTCACCCGCCTCAGCCTCCCAAAGTGCTAGGATTACAGGCATGAGCCACTACGTCTGGCTACAAAGGGTTAGTTTTCTTCTATGCTTTGTACAATAAAGATTTTTGTTTTCCTATTCCTTAATTCTACTGCCATGAATATATTTTCTGTTACATTTTCAGAAAGAACATCGCCCTCACATAGGAGGCTCTTGACTGTGCTCCTTCTGCCTATGTCTGGATGGGGCCTCATATCAAGCTCCTGAACTCTGTTCATTCTCTAAAAGTTAACAGATGCTGGCTGGGCGAGGTGGGTGAATTGCCTGAGATCACAGATTCAAGACCAGCTTGAGCAAGAGTGAGATACCCGACTCTAAAAAAAATTAGCCAGGCGATGTGGCGGGCGCCTATAGTCCCAGCTACCTGGGAGGCTGAGGCAGAAGGATCATTTGAGCCCAAGAGTCTCTGAGGTTGCTGTGAACTATGATACCATGGCATTCTACCAGGGGTGAGAAAGTGAGACTCTGTCTCAAAAATAAATAAATAAATAAATAAATAAACAAATAAATAAAATGTAACAGATGTAGAAAATTATCTGTCAATGCCAATATGATCACTTTGAAAGTCATGCTGCATATTTTTTTCCCCATCTTACTGGACTGACAAACCAGATGGTGTTGAATGAATCCAGTACTAAGGTACAAAGGGAAGGAGCTACTCCTGTACTTTAATATAAACAAACTTCTAAAAGCTCACTACTGAGTTTCTCTTTTTTTTTTGAGACAAAGCCTCAAGCTATCACCCTGGGTAGAGTGCTGTGGCATCACAGCTCACAGCAACCTCTAGTTCCTGGGCTCAAATGAGTCTCCTGCCTCTGCCTCCCAAGTAGCTGGGACTACAGGCGCCCGCCACAATGCCTGGCCATTTTTTGGCTGTAGCCATCACCATTGCTTGGCGAGCCCAGGCTGGATTCGAACCCGCCAGCTCAGGTGTATGTGGCTGAAGCCCCAGCACCTTGAGCCACAAGCACCACTCCACTACTGAGCTTCTCACTTATACAATATCATCTAAATGCACCTGGGACAGGCATGCGCAAGATCGTGTGCCATGTTAGCTGAGGATGCCTCACAACAGCCGCAGAAAGGATAGACAGCAGGGGTAAGACTGACAGGATAGGAGGATGTAGGTGCCCCTGGTGGGCACAACATGGAGCCACCATGCCAAGACTCGGCCCAGCATTGGATATCTGCTGGCCACAGGCTGTTCTTCCCTATTCTTTGCTCTGCAGGACTGAAGGGCCTGAGGCCCTGGGGAAAATTTTTAGCCAAGGGTCTTACTTTGGACTAAAAGTGCCATTTACCCTAAGGTGTCTGCTTAAGGGGGGACCACCAAATCTAAATGGACAACCTTGGGCCAATGTCCAATTTTTTTTGTTTGTTTTGAGACAGACTCTCACTATGTTACCCTTGGTAGAGAGCTGTGGTGTCACAACTCACAGCAACTTCAAACTCTTGGGCTTAAGCGATTCTCTTGCTTCAGCCTCCCAAGAAGCTGGGACTACAGGCACCTGCTCCAAGGCCCAGCTATTTTTTTTTTTTTTTTAAATTGAGACAGAGCCTCAAGCTGTTGCCCTGGGTAGAGTGCCATGGGATTACAGCTCACAGCAACCTCCAACTCCTGGGTTCAAGTGATTCTTCTTCCTCCTCCTCCTAAGTAGCTAGGACTACAGGTGCCTGCAACGCCCAGTTATTTTTGGTTGCAGCTGTCATTGTTGTTTGGTGGGTCCGGGCTGGATTCAAACCCG